AAAGGGGAGATTTGAAACAGTTATTGAGACTTATGTCATCTACTCAATATCCAGCTGTGTTATAGCATCATCTAATACCGTTTGAGCTTTTATCATATGATGCTAAATGAATATTTCAGCAGCACAATACTTCCTACCATACATCTAAATTCCTACAGAAATAATTTTAAAAAGAAACCGGTTTTTCTTTGCCTTGGTCAATTCATCACTTATTTCTACTTGTGGCCGTGATTGCAAATTACAAGAAGACTATCGATAGAGGTTGCAGTGGCAGCTGCACCTAAAGAACCAAGGGAGAAGAACTGCGATTGACATTTGAAAGACTGAGTGCCGGACTCTGCAGAGCAACCGCTTGAATGAATAGAATTTGGACGATAACAACGAAAGCGGTTGCGGGGGCAGCCGCACCCGGGAATCAGTCATTTCAAGATCTCAAATTTTAAGTGGTCGCTCAGCCAGTATCGTGGCTATGACCCTCGGCTTGTAACCGAGTGGGTTCGGGTTCGAATCCCGAGTAAAACATGGTTGTTTCATCTTCGGGAAAGAAGTCGTTCTTTAGCCTGAAATGAATTCCCATCTCGAAAGAAAGTAGCGCACCCCTTCTTGTTATATGCTAGGATCATCATCTGTAATAAATGTGTATATTCTTCTGTTTGTATTGCATGCTCTTTCTCCTCTTCTCTTGTATTTCATACGTTCCCAGGATAATAAACACACGACAACAACAAAAAATCTTAAGCGGGGACAGAATTTTTCTCCAGTGAAAGGCTGTGAGAATAACTTCACTAACGAATATAATGTTTTGTATAATTAATTTGAAATATAAAATGCATTTGGACAAAAGGCTGCTTGAGCCCTCACGCTACCCAGTAATGAAGTAATTTTAAAGGCTTACGACATCACATTACACTAATTTGCGATTTCATTCCTTAAAACAAAAGCACACATTGGGCTTTCTCTTGAATCGACTATACTTCAACAAAAAAATGTTTACCCGATTCACTCTTGAAAGAGCATTAGCACCATATACGGCATAAAACAAACTACTAAAACTGAACTATACAATAATACAAAAGTTACACTACTATATTAAATGATAAGGTTCACTCTATGCATTATTATAGAGCCAGTTCACTTTCACATAGAAATGACCAACATTAAAAATAATTTTAAATCCACTTTCACACACACTTCCTTTCTTTCCTTGGAAAATTCTCGAGACACCGTCAAGTGGCAGCGTAAACAAAATAAGTGACCCGTGCACCATCAGCAGATCTCATTTAATCCGCTTACGACCTTTCTTTTAAACTGCTTCGGAAAATCTTCTTTTCCTTTCGTACGGTTGAGAAGGAGTCCGATTTAATCCACTTGAAGAGATATCGCTCATAAACCAAAGCCATTCTGTAAACCTGTCCCTAGTTGCCACCTAATTTTGTAAATTAGGAAAATTCCAAAATAATTAATACTACGTTGTCCAATTTTTTTCAATTCCTACTATTAGTTCACTCTCTCCATATATATACAGTCGAAGTTCCGTATAACGAACCTCTATACTGCAAATTTTTCTATACAGCGAACTTTTTCCTGCAACCAAGAACATTTCACGATTTTCTTCGTAAAATAACCTCCCAATAGCGAAGTGAATTTTCTATATAACGAACTTTTTCTCTTGTGATTCAATTTTTTTTTCCCTATTTTAAAATTATTTCTGGAAATTTCAAGTTATTCTCTCTTTTAACACATTTTATGGTAGTCATAAATCTTTAAATGGTTTTATTTGGTGTCGAACTCACCGAGAGCAATAGAATTCTGGGCATTTTATCCAAAAAGTGCAACCTTTAATCCCCATTGTCCAGTTCACTGGGAACATCTTCAGTATCCCCTTTTACCCTCAGTGGAGTCTCGTGTCCATGAACTAGTCTCCATTCATTTGTAGTGTTGGTCAACCGTACTGGTAACTTCGTTTCTCGTAGCTCAAAAATGTCAAATCAAAGAAAAAAGTTTAATTCTTCAGAAAGAGGATTAAAGCGTCAAGAAACTTTTCTTGCAGTTTTTCTTTTTTTCTTCCTTTTTTTGATAGGGAAGATATATAAAATAAGTATATATTTATTTACAAAAGGTGTGGATAATTACTTTTTTAAATATATAGTGTTAATTAATTTAAAACTTGTTTCATGTGGCTGATAAAGAAAATTAAAACATGAACCTCTATATAGCGAATTTTCCATATAACGAACTTTGTTTCCGGACTTAGTGACTTCGTTATATAAAGGTCCGACTGTATATATATATATTACATATATCTTGTTGAAATTTTCAATTATTAATAAAATCTTTCCTATTCATCCATTCAAGTTCAAATACTTTTTTAAAACTTGTTGTAGATGACACTTGATGTTAATACAGTTTATTCAAGTAATAATTCATTAATTAGATTTTATTTTTTTAATTTTAAATTTCTGTGTTCTTTCTGCCGAAGTTACAACTGGCTGCAACAGATGGCTCCAGTAAGTTTTTCTAACAAAGTAGGAATTACTTCAAAAAAATTATATTACTTGTTTATTTTGCAATGCATGTTTATTCTTGGATGGCTAATTGAACTTTCTGAATATCTCAGTAATTGCTCGTGATTTTTTTAAAAAAAATACAGTTGAAAAACAACAACTGAGTAATTAAAATACACTTAATTCTGTTTTTACACTATTTTGATTTAACACAAATTTAAAAACTAATAATATGTAATAATGATTCTTTTTGTACACGACTTATTTTTGATTTAGCTTGATCACCCAAATTCTAAAGAAAATTTTACTGTACTGGAATGTCGTTTCTAACTTGCCTAGTAGACTTATCGGGACTCCTTCAAAATGAATCACGCGCACGATTAACACTGCCCTCTATCTCGAAAACTTAAAGATACTTGTCAGTTTGAGATACCAAAGTTCTCGTCTCTTTTAAAGCTTTTTCCCGTTAGTGGACAGATTTTGACGTCGGAGGTTTGACATTCCTTTCTGTTCAAACACGTCGTCGTACATTTGTGACTGAGTTAAATTCCGTTCAACAGAGTACGCACTGCACTTTTTTGCTGTGGTGTCCACGTCTTTACTAATGAAACCAGTGTAACGTTTATCGTCTGTGATTGCCGAATAATGCCCACATGTGCGGCCGATCGGACTAGACCCAAAAATTCTCGAAGGGGTTTCCAATTCACGGATGAGCTGTTTATTACATTCTGATGGGTAGTTCTGTAGTAATAAGCCATAAATTTTGGATACATTAAGCTCAGACACCCTGTACATATTTAATTTTTAACAATCTTCTATTTTTCGCTAGATGCAATAAATGTTTTACACATATTCTTCTAGAATATATCTATCCTTCTAAAAACAGAATTAAGCGCATAAACTCAAAAATGTATTATTAATATACATTCGAGCCTCTATATAACGAACCTCTATATTGCGAATTTTTCTATATAGCGAACTTTTTTCTGAACCAAGAACATTTCACGATTTTCTTCGTAAAATAACCTCTCTGCAGCGAAGGGCATTTTCTATATAACGAACTTTTTCTCTTGTGATTCAATTTTTCTTTCTCCCTATTGTTGAAGTATTCCTGGACATTTCAAGTTATTCTCTCTTTTAACACATTTTGTGGTGGTCATAAATTTTGAATCGGTTTTCATTAGGTGCCTAATTCACCGAGAGCAATATAATTCTGTGCGTTTCATTCAAGAAGGGCAAACTTTGACTCCCATTGTCCAGTTTATATCTCCTTTCACTCTCAGGGGAGTTGTCTTGTGTCTCCTTGTCCTTGTTGTGTTGTTCAATCGTACTGGTAACTTCGTTTCTTGTAGCTCGAAAATGTTAAAACGTAAGTGCTGGAGCACATCAAAGAAATACATTTAATTCTTCAGGAAGTGGATAAAATCGTCAAAAAACTTTCCTTGCAATTTTTTTATAGTTAAGATATATAAAACAAATATATATTAATTTACAAAAGGTATGAATAATTATTTTTTTAATTACGAACTTAAAATTTGTTTTATGTGGTTTATGAAGTATATTGATAGAGGTGAACCTCCATATAAAGAACTTTTTTCGGGATTTAGCGATTTCGTTATATAGAGGTCTGACTGTATTTAAATACATTAATTACATAATTAAAATAAATATACAAGAGAAAAAAAAAAAAAAACGCACAAAAGAAATTCAAAACTATTTCGAATCGTTTCCATCGATTTAATAACTTGTGTTTTCAGATAAATATTTCAATACCTCCATTTTTTAAAAATTTTAGCTTTTAAGGCATTTTTAATACATGTTACCATGACAACCATGTGATGGTTTTATTCCTTCTAGCCGTTTACAAATTTTTTGTATAATTTTTTTTAACATATTTCGCTGAAAATGAAAAGAATGGTTTATTTTTTGACCACAGAGTTGTTACCTTCTTCTATAAATTGAATCCTTTCTATCGATTGCGACAGTCCATTATCCGACTATTGTATCGAGAAATAAAGAGTTTGGGGATTATTTTTATTTTGGTGTGCATTGTTACTAAACTTCTTAGAATCGTCAGGTGGGAAAAATCTGACCACAAAAGATATTGTTTTTAAATAGGAAACGGCGTGTGGTGCATTCAAAATGATTTACGCACTTGAGGACTGTTTGTCAAATCTATCTTTTAAGTGAATGGAATAAATTATGTTAAAAATACTCCAATTTTCTGTGCGTTTATAATATCGAAGTTTCAATGAAAGTTAATTATAAGAATGTGAAAAGAGGATAGAAAAATATTACAATAAAAAAAATAATTTAATAAAATTTTCAGAAAATAAAGGAATTTAAAAAGAAATTAGAGTACTGACTCCCTATTCCTGTTAATGGTTAAATGTAAATCAAGTAAATAAAAATTAAAAAACAACATGCCGAAAAAAAGAAAAAGTTTAAAATAAATAGCCCAAAAAAGCAAAAAAAAGAACACTCAGAAATCAAAATATCCTTTTTGGGGACCGGGCTAATATAAATTATGTAAATACAAAAAAATAATGAATAAACAAACAAAATTTACAAAATTTTTTTTAATGAAATAGGAATATATACATATATTTTTTCCTTGATATATATATATATATATATATATATATATATATATACATATATATATTCCTTGATATATATATATATATATATTTGGCGTCCCCGCGTCTTTCTTTAACATGACTCTATGTTCTTTGACGGCCAGATTAATGGAAAAAACTTTTCCAACCCCAATCCCAAGAAGATAAACGATCATAATATGTAAATGAGATATACTATAAAAGGATATCGTGGCAAGTTTAGATATAGCGCGGAAAGCTCAGAGATAGTATTTGGAATTATTCTGATCGTGCGTAAAAGCGTGTAAAACTTGCGGATCAAAAATTAGCAGCATTGCGGATCAAAAATCTTCAAAATAAAATTTATAGATAATATTTCTAGGTCAAAGGGAAACCCGAACTGAAAAAAAGGGAATATTGG